CTGGCTGTAGCTAAACGTGCAGAGATGCTTGCTGTTATTTGTTGGCTTCCAGCCGGTTCGTATGCGGCTAGTGGCGGTGTGGTGTTTTTCTTGTTTACGAAAAAGCATCTGTGAAGTGCAGAACACGATCAAATAACGAAGAAAATTTATTCAAGTTCAACATTTGAGGGTAAATTTGCAGAACGGCTGTGGCTGAATGTGCAGAGATGCTTGCTGTTAGTTATTTGCTTTCAGAAGATGCGGGTTCGAATCTCGGCAGAGGCGAACGTGTTAAAATGATTATAAAATATTTTATTTTGTATCTCCGAATTATGAAAAAACATCTGTGAAATTCAGAACATAAGCGTATTCAAATGAAAAAATTGGCAACCAAAAATTTGTTTAACGTAAACAAAAGTGTGGTTAATATTACCAAATCATTGTTAAAATATCAACCATGACATTGTTAATATCAACCAAAAATCACACTGATTCCTTTTCAAGTTTGAATTTGGTAATATTAAGCAATTTTTGGTTGATTTTTTTCTCAGTGAAAGGTATTTTTCTGTAGATGAGGAAAATAACGGCCAAAATTTTCGTTTAAAAATTTCCTTCGTTGTGTACAGTTTTTGTTGTAACCTCTTAAATTTGAGTTGTTTTCGCATTTTGTTTTACTTCGTATTTGAAATTAAACTTGGTAATAAAAATAAATGTGATGAAGAAATACTTAATTGATAAAAAAGTGAAGGCAAAATTGCAGATAAAGACGAAAATGAAAGCAATGAGAACTACATAGGAATTAAAGAAATTTTTGGAAATAAATCCAGTCCCCAAAAATTACAGTTAGCAAGTTATCGAAATTTATCGAATCAGCAAAATTTTGCCTATAGTTATCGAAATTTATCGACTTTACCATGATTACTGAGTTATCGAATTATTCAAATTGATCACTGTTTGAGTTGTACAAATTTACTAGATTATTAAAATTTGTCAAGTTAATGGAATTTATCAATAATTGCTTTATTATCATTATTTATGGAGTTAACGAAATTTAGCGAGTTATCGTAATATATCAAGTACTTTCAATTTATCGTGTTATAGAAAATTATTGATTTACCGATGTTGGCCGGTTTTTCGAATTAAAGTTTTTGGACTTTTCTATGGAGTTACGTAAAAAGTCTTGCATGTGCCAACATAAACGCAGCCATAGTTAACGACTTATACAAACCTTAAGATACGTAATTCTGTTTGACCAAGTTTTAGCAGGCAAACTTTAAAAATTTCATACTATTTAATTACATACATACTTCCGTAGCTGATCTTTCATTTACTAGCTATATAAAATTTAAAATTTTATTTAGCAGAAAATGCTGAACCCAAAAAACCTCAAACCAAAGAGCAATAACCTACTACTATGCAAATAAAATTGATGTGTGAGGCAGGTAGGTTGTGAAGTCAACAACATAAACAAAATTCTACTAGATAAGCAGCTTTTTAGTTTTCCACTTACATTTTTTTTTTGTATAAATATTTTATCAGCTTTAGCTTCAACGCAGCTGGTTAAAAACGCCTTTGCCACGTATGTATGCGCTTCTTGTTGTTATTTTTATTTGGTAAGTTGTGTCAGTTGTTGACAAACAATTCCCAGCCGAAAAACTTAATTAATTGAAATGCCAAATAGACTGGAACCAGTGTCAGCAGCACGTACACGTAATAGGTCCAACTTTCGGTAATATTTTCCATCATTTCTGTAAGCAAAAGCAGAGGAAGAAAAATTCTTTAAAACTCATACCGTTATGTAGATACATACAGGGGTGTAAAGGAAACATGATTGCCTATTTATATAATGATATATATAGATATGTATGTATGTAGACATAAAAATAATAATGCCATTTAAAGGGAGTACATATGTTTGTATGTAGCAAGGCATATGAAACAGGTAGTAGCATTAGAGCAAAAACAACATTTGCGTGTATTTTGTTGTTGCTTCTGGTATCGAAAATTCTGATTTTTTTTTTTAATATAAATTTTGAAATACAAAAAAATAAAAATTAAAAAATTTAAATTGGAAAAAATAAAAATTGTTGCAACTTTCTTTCTTTATAAAATTGTTTGCTTCTCGAAGGATTGATCCATCCTAGGCAAGGCCTAGTAACCAGCGGTTGTGCTGCTGAGTTGGTGGAACATTCCAAAAGCTGCTTATTTTGTATGGAAAAAGGTATCGCATGCAAACAGATTTTAACAATTTTGAACTTTTGTGAGAAGAAATTAAAAATATTTAACATTTTCGAGACCAAATAATTTGAAAACAAAAAAAATGTCAAATCATTCAATGTGCCTTGGTATGTAGGCAAAATGACATTTTCGTAAGATGATAAATGAATGCACGCAGTGAGTGGGTGTGTGTGTGTGTGGTGGCTTGTATGAAATATTATGCAATTTCGTGTTGACTGAAAGGATATACGAAAAACAGTTGGCGCGAAAGATAAAAATTGTGCTTAAGTACTTTTAATTAAATGTAAATGGTAGGTGTGTGTGTGTGTGTTTGCGCTTGCTTGAGTACACTTTTACATAAGTATATTACGTTTGTGGGTGAATTGGCGCCTGAAAAGCTCAAAGGGTAAAGCAAACGACGGAGGGTCGGTGGCGGCTGGAAAACAGGAAGAATGAATATAACGGTGTAATGAAAACGTTTCGCGCTCAGCACGCTGAGATAAAATTAAAACATAAACAAAGTGGATAAAAAAGGGAAAACATCGAATGTGCTGGGTACACACCTACACACATTTATATACATGCATATATAGCATGGGTATGGTGACCAGATTTCTGTGGCCAAAAAGCGGGACATTTTTGAAGCATCGAATCCGAACCTACGATATTATTTTTGGAATAAAACTACATAAAATATTTTAATACAGTTTTATTTAAAACAGAAAAAGGGAAAAAGCTTGAAAAATTATTGCAAAAATGTATACACATAGTAAATATGTATGTATGTACGATGGCGAGAATGTAAATATCGAAAAGGCATTTTAACAAGTTTTGGCTACTTTAATTGGTTTAAAAAAAGTTTTTTTATTTTTTACTTTATTATGAAAATGTAACTTACCATCTAAAAAAAACATGTAAATCAAAATTTTAAACTTTGTAAAACATTTACAAAAATTTGACACATTTTAACAAATGTTGATGATGTTGTTGTTTAAATATTTTAGTCAGTTTTCTAGATTTTTTTTGAATATGCAGTTTTGTAGCCCAAAAATGAATTAGCGTGGTTGATTTTCGGATATTTTTCGGAATTATTATTTTTTTTTATAATTTCACTTAATTCAAGTTAGAATCATTTCATTAAAAAACAAAAACATTAAATAAACGATTATACAAGTGATTTTTTTAGCAAAAAAACAAAACCAATTTAAATTCTAATCTAAAAATTTAAGATACCCGTCAATTTCGTAATGATCCAATGATCGGTCTTAAACCAAATTAGTACGGGACCACCTCTGAGGTACCATCTTTCCTTCAATTATAGAAATCCTTTAAGGTGGTCCAAAATTATGCGGTAGCATGCATAAAAAAATATTCTGACGAATTGATAAACGCCTTAAAAAAAATTAGAGAATAGAAAAAAAATTGACAGAATAAAACGTAACCAAAGATCATCGAAAATAAGGATGCTGGCTATGTTTATGGCTGCCTTATATTCTATGTACTTTGTGATAACAACACTGCTGCCACGTTTGTACGAAAAATTATTTTTGGGAGAGAGTATAGGGAAACTCTTATTAAATTAATAAAGACAACATTGAAAGTCGGGACTTAATCGATACAAATATGAAAACTCGGGACACTTATAAGTCCCGACTTTTAAAAAATATTCAGCGAGACAATTTTCTTAAAGTTGGTACTGTCCCACCAAAATCGGAACGAATGGTCACCGCAAGCATAGGAGGCACACACAATAGTAGTAATGTGTGAGTGTGTGGGTGTGGGTGTGTAGATATGTGTCAATGTTTCAGTGGTATATACAATTTCATTTAGTGACGCGCGTGTGCAAAAAAAAGAAAAACAATACACAAACGAAATGCGACAGGTGCAACGCCTAGCGATGTAACTTTTAGTTTGTAGTTACGGTAATTTTCCACAGTTTTCCAATGCACTGCTGGTGATGGGGCAGCGCTTTTACAACCCAGTACGGCATAACTCAACCAATTACCCCAGAAAAATTAATTTATTTTTAGTTATGTAGCTACTAACTTCAAATTGATGTATAATCGACTAGCAGCCTTATTGAGATAAACCAAAGGCTTACAGTTTTGATACATATCTTTGTAAATAATTAAACATGCGTAGGACACCGGCCATGTTAGAGTCAACAGTTCGTTAAATGGAAGAAAGTCAGATCTTCAACTAGTTGTGGTGGATAAAAAATTGGTTGGACATCGATATTTCAACTACATAGTTTCTTTCCGTACTGGGAACAAACCCTGCACTTCATTATTTTACCAAGTGTGTGTGTGTGTGTGTGTATTTATGCATGGGGGGGGGTGGAACGCTTTAACAGCACCAAATTATAAAAGGAGTATCAGCAGCAGCAGGAACACCAGCACGAGTAGCAACAGATATAAAATGAACAATAAACTCTGAAAAAAAAGTTTGTGTATTTATGCATTTACCTAATCGACAAACGAATGCTGCTGTTTATCGTTTTTTTTTTTACAGATTAACCCAACCCAAGAGTGGATGGTGGTCAGCCAGCGGACGCCCACCAAAGCGCGCAGATCATCAGGGAGCAGATAGCGTGGAAATTTTATGCGCGCGTACATACAAACACTCAGACATAAAAATTCGAGCTACGAGTACAATGTATTGTCTAAAGGTAGTATTAAAAAAGGCAGTTAATGAGCATCAACTTCCCAAATGGGAGAGAGCGCGCGCGCATATAAACAGATGTTGCATGCAGACAACTTTGTAGTAAGGGAACAGTTGTTGGACGTGTTGGCTTTTTTTTAAATAGCGCATACCTGGGAGTTAGAGCCCTTTTCATTACAAAGTACGAGTATGTATGTATGCATGAGTGTGCAGTGTGTTTATGCAAATAGCCAGTGAAGAACCCACTTGTGTACACAGTTTTGCTTGTACAGTTGTTTTTAATCGTCACAAATACAATGTAAGCGTATGCCATTACCGTTGCAGTGTATTAAACTGGGAGAGTAATTTCAACATAAACAAAATTTTCTCTCAGTTAAATTTTTTGTGGTCTACAAATTGACTTCACTTAATTTTTGTTAAAGATATGCATATGTACATATAACCGTCGCTTTTTTGACGCTACATACATAATATATGTATCAGCAAATTTTATCTTTTGCATACTTTTAGGCTTGCCATGGAGTACGATCAGTAAAGCCATTAACCCTTAACTCAGCCTCTATGGGTAATGGTAACAAAACACAAGAAGAGGAGAATAGAGCAAATCCTTTAAGCCACGGATTTTTGAAAAAGAGGTACATCATTGTAAAGTATCTAGTAATAATTCTTGTGCTGACGTATAAATAAATTCATATATTTGTCCAAGTTATTGGCAAGTATATTTCTCTTAAACTATAAGAGATAACGGAATAAAACTTCGCACCCTTACAGTTACACATGTACACTTCTTCCTCATACTCATACAAAGTCAACAAGGCCAAACTCTTATAACAAATTATTTTAAAAATAATTTTTTTATCAACAGTACATTTTTTTGCTCTATTCACGCTACTTTGAATAAAATCCGTGATTTAGCAAAACTTTTCGGTGATCACTTTACATGACCTCAGTAAGCATTTAAAAATTCAGCGTATTAAAACTGAGAGCCCTTTCGCTCAACTTGTCGAATTGGAGATTCGTCTTTAGCCTCGTCCTTTGGGATCATCTGGTCTTACTGCTCAGAAATATGTTCATAAGTTCATAATTTTAGTCATAATGACGAATTCGCGGTGTTCTTACGGAAATTTATTGCTATTTTTATACACTCCAATGCACTTTAAAAGGGACATTGCTTTTTCGCTGTTTTTTTTTTAATTTAGTTTCCACTATTTTCCACTTTTTTTTTTTTTGTTGTAGAGTTGATAATGGCCAGACATATTTTCCACTTACATTTCCACTTAAATTTTAGCATCGTCGCTATGCAAGTGCAAAGGAGTGTATATACAAATTTTTGTTGACTTTCTCTCTCTTTGAGAGCGCAACAAAAAGCAAACAAATCATAAGATCTCGACATAAAAATTATTGAAAACAAATTAAAAGTTGTCCACTATAAAAAAAAAACTAAATATTAATCGCTCACATATATGTAGTAGTTATAAAGGCTCACTTATAAAGGCAACAGAACCATTCAACGCTTTTGCATTATTCTCATTTTGCTTTTTATAAGCTTTTATTTAACTTGGTCATTCCGTGCAAATCGCGGAAATCTCCAATAGATGTTAAACTGACTTCCCGACAAGTTAGAGACTTGAACTTTCCAGCATAGTTCCAATCACGATGACAATGTAATTTAAAATATAAATGAATTCTCCATATGGTCCAGAGGTCTTGATTCAAAGGCGGTCAAAAAATAGTAAGATTTATGGCTAACAGAGCGTAATTTGCCAAAGAACGTAAAACCACTATAAAATTGTTAAAGCTGCCGGCGCGCCGNTTAGAAGACTCGAGAAGTTTCCCCGCCAGAAGAACTTTAATATTGCGCCTAAATATATG